TCTGCTTGGGAAGCTAATATGAAAGGCTCGAACTTGTTGTACCTACGAAAATAAATATCAGTGTAAAAATTAATTAATACTGGAAACCTTGAAGCTCGTTTCCTTGTACATACTTTCGGTGAAAAGTAGTACGAAGTGAAATGTGATGTTTCTTCCGTCAAACTTCCCGCAACAATAGAACCTTCAACTCTTGCTAGGTTTTGGCTTTTCCTTTCAAAGTTTTCATGGCCCTTTCATACTGATACATCCATCCATAATGCACGGGTTCACGAAGTAATGCCTCATACGGGAGGTGGACAACTAGGTGTTCCATGACGTCGAAAAAAGTAGGCGGAAATATTTTCTCCAAGTTGCAGATTAAGACGGGGATGTTTTCATGAAGTTGTTGGAAAACTTCCACTTTAAGAGTGCGGGTGCTCAGATCCCTAAAAAATGCTCAAATTCCTTATATATATACGAAAATAAAAATTATCCACATTAGTATATATATATATATAAATAAATTAATCATGTCATCGTATTATATTAATTATTTACCTGAAAGTGCTTCATGCACTTTTACCGGTAGTAGCTCCGCAAACGCAAAGGGAAGTAGTCGCTGCATAAAGACATGACAATCATGGCTCTTCATCCCGGAGAACTTTTGCCCTTTCTCAACACATCTTGAGAGATTTGAAACATACCCAGGGAACTTCACTTCTGAAGCCACCCAGTTGAACAACGCAGACTTTTTTTCTGATGAAAGTCTGAATATTGGAACTAGAACTTGCCCATTGATTTTTATATGTAGCTCACTCCTTGAGCAGATATCGGGTAAGTCCAACCTTGATTTTACGTTGTCTTTCGTCTTCCCTAGGACATTCAATATAGTGTTCATGATGTTCTCAAAAAAGTTCTTATCTATATGCATCACATCGAGGTTGTGGCGCAAAAGAAGATCTTTCCAATATGGCAATTCCCAAAATATACTCTTTTGTGCCAATTGTGCTGAACACCATAAGAATCAGGCATATTACTGGGAACATGCCAATTCCCACCACGAGGAGCTGTTTCTAGAGCACCGTAGTAATCGATTTGCGCTTCGATTTGTTCTCCAATTAAATATGGAGGAGGAATGTCTCTAACAACCCTTTTGTGCCTTAACAATTTCTTGTTTCTTCGGTATGGGTGGTAAACGGGAAGAAATCGACGGTGACAATCAAACCAACTAGTCTTCCTACCATGCTTCAACTGAAACGCATATGTCATTCCATTACAATTTGGACAAGCTAATCTCCCACGTGTAGTCCACCCAGACAACATACCATATGTAGGAAAGTCACTTCTGGTCCACAAAAGCATCGCTCGCATCGTAAAGTTTGTTTTCGTTGAACAATCATATGTCCTCACCTCTGTTGACCACAAATCTTTCAACTCTTTTATCAGTGGTTGTAGAAAAACGTCGAGAGATCTTTTTGGATGTTTTGGACCAGGTATTAATATGCTCATGAATAGAAACTCTCGTCGCATGCACATCTCCGGTGGCAGGTTATATGGTGTAAGAAAGACCGGCCACAATGAATATTGTCTCCCAGACAATCCAAATGGACTAAATCCATCAGTACATAATCCAAGATACATATTCCGTCTATTGCTAGCGAAATGTGGATGTACATTGTTAAAATGTTTCCAGGCTCTGCATCTGATGGATAGTCATCTCTTCATCCGTCTGAGTATGCTCGGCGTGTCATCTCATCCCTCCAACAGTCTCCTCAGATTGGTACAATCTTTTCAATCTGTCTATGATTGATAGGTACCACATCCTTTTGCACGGTACCTTATTACGCCCTCTACCTTGCGGTTTGAATCGTGGCTTCTTACAAAATCGACATTCTTCTAACTTCTCATCATCTCCCCAATAAATCATGCAGTTGTCGATGAAAACGTCTATCATCTCCGAGGGCAATCCAAGACTATATACCAATTTCTGAATCTGATAATAAGATTCAGCAGACACATTGTCTTCTGACAAATACTCTTTAAACAAGTCTGCCCATGCATCCATACAATTTTCAGGCAGATTGTGATCGGTTTTAATACTCATCATTCTAGCAGCCAACGACAATTTAGACAGACATTCACTACAACCACTATAAATTGGCTCATTTGCAGCATCTAACATTTCATAAAACTTTTTTGCATCTAAGTTAGGTTCTTCAACTTCATCATCATCATGAGTTACAAAGGCATCACCTACCATATCATGAACCCTATCACAATCTACCATTTGTTCCTCTTGGTGATGATAACTACTTTCACTACGCAAATGATCAACCGATTCAACCTGAAAATTTCTATTACTACTGCTACCTTCATTCCTACAACTAGCATCGTCTTCTCTATGTTGATACCAAATATAATAATATGGCATGAAACCTCTATTTATTAAATGCTTCCAAACATTTTCACGATGACCTAATTTTGTATTGCAGCATTTCGGACAAGGACAGAACATCTTACCACTTTCCTGCGTGAGTGGTGTAGAATCTGCTTGATGCATAAACGTCTACAACCCTTCGAGATATTCATTCGTCACCCTCCCATTATTATCTCTGTGTGAATACATCCACTTCCGCAACTGGAAAATATTTCTCGGACCGGACTTTTTTTGTGTTTGATCAAGCTTATAGCTGATTATTTTTTGGTGTGTTTCAAATGAATCACAATTGTGGTATTTATAGAAATTTTCGAATCTGAGCATTTACTAGGAAATTGCTAGGAAATATAGGTACAAAATATGTTTTTGATTTAAATTCCTTATTTCCTTTCCAGTTCCTCCTAATTTCGTAGTAACAAATTTGTTCCTCTTAAGTAGTAACACTTTACTAGGACTTTACGAGGAAACTAACTTACTACGGGCTTACAAGGAAATGTACTACTGCCACGTAATTTCCTCGTAACATTACTACGGTGTTACGAGGAAATATTTTTCTCGTACCTACAAGGACCTTACGTGGAAAAGTAGTTTCCTCATAATTTTGAAGTAATTTCATAGTAATTTTACGAGGAATTATTTTCCTAATAAAATTTCGTAGTAACTTCTTAGTTTTCTTGTAGTGTTACCAAGAGTAGCAGCTATGCAGGTAAGGGAACTTCTTCACTATCATCTTGTTTATTCCGGTTCAGAGATTCAATATGTATTATCTACTCTATTCTGATATTGATTTGGGGTAAAACGCAAGCAAACAGGTTACAGATTTTAGCATGAAGACACACATAATACAAATAACTCGGACACCAGCCTTCACAAGCAGCTTTGACTTCACAACAACTGTACAAAGAAAAAAACTGATCTTCCTTAAGAGAACAAATTTGTTCTTTTTGACTACAACAACTATTCTTACCAAGAATAGATTTGCTAACACGTTGTCTTTTCCATATCTTTTTTCAAACCAAAGATTAAAGTGAGATTCGCACTTCTTAACGAAACGTTAACTCTCGCGGTGGTTGATTACATAGATACCCTTAATGAAATGTTAGATTTTAAGATTATTATTAAATTTTTTATTTAGTTTCTGTTTTTACCTTTTTCCAAATAACATATATAATAAAAAAGAAATATTTCTAAAATTTTAAAACAAAAATATATGTATATCATATAACTTTATTAAAAATGAAAGTTCACAAAATAGTAACACCCCCATCTATCTATCTATCTATCTATCTATCTATCTATCTATCTATCTATCTATCTATCTATCTATCTATCTATATAATCTAGAGTTTCCCTCTTTTTCCTTAGGTCACGTCACTAAATAAGTGATTCTGGGCACCCCACGTGTCAGGTAACACTAATTCGCAGCGTTTCATTTAAGTTATTCTACGCACTGATGGGCATTGTCTTCTATTTGGGCCTTACTTTTGCACAATTGACCCAGCCCGTCAAGAAGTTCTAAGTGTAAACGCAACGACGTGTTATAATATTAGAGCAGCTGCAACGGGGGTTGAACACCAATCCTTGGCAGTGAAACCTAGGCAAAATTGAATAAAAAAATAATATGTTAATTCAGAAAGTTAAGGATGAATCCTTATTCAAGGACTTTAAGAGGTTGATCCTTGCTGACGTGGCGGGTAAATTGGGCATGAATGTGCGATGAGAAGAAAAAAAAAAATTCATTCTCGCGATGGAAATAAAAAAAAAAATCTCCAGAGACAAAGGCGATAGAAAAGGGGAAAAGGCGACGGCTGTGTGCAAACCTCCTCCTCCGTTCTACTCCTCCGCTATCCTCCTCCACCACCCTCCTCTGATTCCTCATCAACCGCACAACCTCCTCATCCTCCTCCCCACCAGATTTGTTTTGATTGATTCACTCTCAAAGTCTAAACCTTTTAATCAAAGGAAGAAGATGGTGTTTGTTACAACTGCAGAAATCTGTGACGCGAATCAAGACCTGATTCGGAGTAGTGAGCTCAGAACAACGGATGGACAGTAGTTAGGTTTCCCTCACTCCCCTTTTAACCAAACTTTAAGGCTTTCTGTCTCCTCATCTCTTACTGTGACTTCTCTTCGAGTAGATTTGGAAGTGGTTGCCTTCAGGTCAATGGAGACGCAGAGACAACAAGAGTCATGGACCTGCTCTGTCACTGAGACGCTTCTAATCCTCGTTGGAAAGAATCTGACTTGTCTTCTCCTCACGGTATACAACAGTTTCCTTAATTTCTCAGATTTATCTCTTATTTCACTTTGTCTTTTGTTGGATTTTTCGAATCTATCCTGTAGATGTCTCTGTGTTCCGATGTCTCTGTGTTCCTGAATCCAAGGATTATTAGATTTTTCATACTCAGATTTCTGCTTTAGGGATAAGGTTTTGGCTTTTTTTTTTTGAATTTAGACAAGCACTTTAACTTCTGTCTTTAATTAGTTTGAGATGGGTCTTTGGACAATTGCAGTTGAATGCAGATTTGAACAATGTCAAGTGTACACTCTCTGTTTCACTTTTACTTTTTGTCAATTTAAAAAAATGTGTTTGGATGATGTTATAAGAAAACAAAAGAGTACTTGTGGTGGATGGTGGAGGGAGCCAACGATGTGCGAATGTGCGATACTCGGAGGCAACCCTGTGGTTCAATCTCAGAACAACGGATGGGCGGGAATCATTGTGAACGGATGCATCAAAGACGTTGATGAGATCAACGGTTGTCATATTGGAGTCAGAGCTTTGGCTTCTCATCCAATAAAGGCGAGTAAGAAGGGACTTGGAGAGCAAAGAGTTCCAGTTAATATTGCAGGGACTCGGATTTGTGATGAAGAACTAAATGGTTTAGTCTTCTTGTGTGTTTTCTGTTTCAAAGAGCAAAGTCGAAGGGATGACCTAGAATCTCTTGGATATGTGCTTTTGTATTTCCTAAGAGGCAGGTGTGTTGACTTCTCCCACTCTCTACTGTGCGGCATAATTGTTTTCCTAATCTATTTAATACAGACTTGATTTAAGTTATTTATGTTTATGTGGTTATATGTAGGATTATATTTCTGCCGCTATGGGCTTTTCATGCAGTTGTTGCAAGAGGAAGGTTCTCCCTTCCTGCTCATGTTGCTCCCCGTAACCGTCATGTATGCCCCTTTTTTACTTACTTCTTTTAGCAGTAGATCCTATTGATATTACTACGTTTTGTTTATGATCCCTTTTTGTTTTCTACAGTGGGCTCCATGTCATGCTGTTGTTGCCACACCTTTGCTTGTGGCATTCGAATTGCTCCTCTGTATATACCTCGATAGTTCTTATGGTAAATATAAGCTCTACCTTCATATGTCACACTACCGGGGTTTGTTTGTTTGTTTGTGTGGTGGTATATAAAGCCTTTAGTGATTTAGTTTCTTTGGAATGGGGACAGATTGATATTTGTAGATACTTAATAAAAATGATCGCTCTGATTCGCAGAGCTTCATATTGCTACCAATACTTATGGTTAAGTTGGTGAACAACAAATTTTTAATTCCTAAGGACTCTATAATGGATAACACCATTGGAGACACAATTTGGACTTGAGTCCTTAACTATTTGAAAAAGGAAAAAAAGACTTTAATAAAGGTTAAGGACTCCAATGGTAGTAACACCATTGGAGTTGCTCTTAGGGTTAGACTAGTTTCATCGCCTCCGTTCTTGATCGAGTCACATCCTGAGTTCTGATAGCTTTCTTTCTTCTTCTTCTTCATATCAATCACAAAAGCTATCAGTTACAGATTCATCCTATTAAATTCCATCTTAAATCATTTACCCACAATCCACCTTGAATGTGAGTGTCACTCATGCATGGCGGTGGAATTGCAACTATAAAAAGGGTAACCTGGCTACTTGACGAAGATGGGTCATAGAAGTATATGGTCTCTTCTGGACAAAGATAATTAAAGCCTTGAAAGCCAGCAGGGGTCTTCCAATTATTGGAAAGTTTGTGGTGACTGTTTGTTTTGGCTTATTTAGTATCATTAGAATCCATTTTTAATTCTTTTTATGATTGTTTTTTTGTGTTGTTTGCTTGATATTCGAGATCTCAAGTATACAGTTTGTTCAGTTGTTGATGTCATGCACAATATGGCGTCTTCCATATCCTCTCTGATATCAAAGGTAAATTTATTTCTTAGGAATTATAACGAGCTTATGACTTATGAAACTTATCCTCTTATGGCTTCTCTGTGAAATGGACGGACAGAACTCGATATATAGTAGGTGGTGCTAATATGAGAGGGTGGTCTGAGAAGATGAGTGATGATGAACTTGAGATCGTGAGGAGTGCTGGAGTTGTGCTCTTTCAAAGAGAGATCCCATACTCCATCAACATTCAAGTTGCTAAGGTTTGTATCAAGTTTTAAAATTTATATGATTCCAATATTGATGTCATTCAAAGGATGCATCTTTAGGTTTAGATAAAGCAATGGTGTCGTGAAGATATACTAGAATTTAAAAAATCTTCTCATTCGCTCACTTGAAATCTCAGCTATACCTTCTTTGCTGGTTGCTTTTTATTAGGCAACATAGATAACCCGTTACGTTTCTCTCATTTTAGTTTGTCATCTCCACATTTCTTGCTCCTTCACTCTTCGTTTAGATTCTAGTTTTACATTTCCAGCTTTAAACTACACAGCCTGCTATAACACAGCATGGATTCTCAAGTTGCATGTATGCCTGAATGTATGGCAATGTATAGAAAAGGATTAACAAATGATCATAGTATGTGATTTGAGGTTTGGCTTTTTCAATACATACTCTTGGGTTGGATATTCCGTTCAAATGTCCATCTCTGTTCTCCGTCAAATTGAATAAGCCAAGTATTTTCAAAAAACATCCACGAGTTGTGAAAGAGGAATAAGAAATGGATCCAAAGCTTTTATGGAGAGAGGTTCTTCCGGCCATATGGATGTAACACCTTGAAACCTCCTTTTTTGTGAAGATTATGGATCGATTTTTCTCAAGTTCATGTTTTTAAATGTTTGGTTTGTGATTTTTGTTTTGATTTCATTGGGTAATATGATTTAGTTCAGATGTTTCACGAGTGTGAAATAAATGGATTCCAGACCCGACATTAAGAATTATTTTTTCTTTAGAAGAAAACAGGAATGTAAATGCTTTGTATTAACAACGGTTGTAGTTTTTTTGGGTTTTGTAACTTTACAGTAGTCATCATTGGTGGTGGTGTATAAAAGGTATATGCAACTGCGTATTTAGAGACTGATACACCCACTAAAGAGATGAGTCATTGTCAGATGATGGAATCAATTAAGGGATCGGAGGAGCTTTGGCTTAAAGGATGGAGATGGTCTGCTTCATTGTCATTGTCATATTTTCTCCTAAAAATAATAATTTATACGATGCAAAAATAGATTATTCATAGTCAACATCTACAAGTATATCATATCACTTAAACATAATTTTTGAATTCAAAAGCTTCTGAAATGTTTAATATATAATTTAACTATTTTAATATCTAAATATATACATAGAATTTCCATGAATGATCGCTGTTCAAAATTCACTTAAACATACGTTAAAACTTTATTAAATGTGTTTTTTTTTTTGAAATTGTAAGATACATAATTTAAAATATCTTATAAACATTCACTTTAGATCGAGGGCTCTAAATGTTAGTATATGAGATTAAACCTTAAGAACTACGATATCATACGAAAATAGTAACATAGATCACAAGTAAAGTATACTCCGCCCGTAGGGCGGGCCGACCCTAGTTAATATATATTTTAAATAACATCGAATATATTTTCACAAAAATAAAAATATATCTGTTCATAAACATTCTAAAATTTATCAGTTACACTTTCTAATATTTTTTTAGAAATCAACATATAATTTGATAAATATTATGAAAATACATGTATATTTAAGCGAAAAATAAAACTAATTTGATTTGACTTAACTAAAATAAAGAGTAGATAAATATTATGAAAATACATGTATATTTAAGCGATAAATAAAACTAATTTGATTTGACTTAACTAAAATAAAAAGTAATTATACTTCCATTTTAATTTAAAAATATATTTAACTCAATATACTCACAACATGAATGATTCGATTAATCTAATTTATATCCAAAATTATGCATCTAACTACAATAAGAACATATAATTTTATAATAATAATAAGCTATTTGATTTTATACATATAAATTAGAGGTTGACTCAAAGCAAATTAAAAAGAAAAACAAAATATTAACCAATTACAATTTAATTCTATTGTAGAATATCTATATATGCACGAGACTTCAAAATATTATCATTATATTCATTTATGTAATTTTTAATCAAACACTTCAGCTTATTATTTATTTAATTTTAAGCACAATATATATTAAGTTATACATAATTTAACTATAATATATTTACATATCTAAGAATATAGTTACATATATAAGACAATAACCAACCAAAATGAAAAATAAGAAAATTAATTAAAGTTTTATTATATATAGAATAAAAATATTACACCTGAATTCGAAAAATAGATATTATCCGATATACCAAATTGATAACCAAACCGACTATTAATCCAAAAATTAATTAAACCGAAAATAATATATCCAAAGTCATATGTATAATTAAAATAATATAATTTTTGTTAATATAAATTATACATATAAATTTATTCAAAACTAAAACTAAATATCAATCAATTATTATAAAGTTTTATTTTATGAATATTCATACCCGTGCATGAGCACGGAAAAATCACCTAGTACTCAATACTTGTCTTATCTTGTACGAGTAATGAAAATTTTGACTTGTAATTGACTTGTCAAAAACGAGTACTTGTTATAGTGAGTACTTACTAATAAATAAGTTACTTGTAGTTATTTGTTATATTCTATTACTTGCTATTTGTGAGTGTTTATAAATTACGTGCAAATATTTATGAGTTACTTGTGAGTAATATAAATGTAATTTTAAGTATTTAAAAATTACTTGATGAATAATGCTATACCGAAAAATTGAAAATAGGAATTTTTGTATAAGGAACAAACACGATAATTAATATAAATAAAATATTTGTACATAATATAAACGATAAAAATGAAAAAAATATAAAATATTTCTAATGGAAAATTATTTACTTCACACAATAACAAAAACATATTTTCTAAGCAAGTAACAAGTTGTATCAAGTCGAGTATTTATTTTTTTACATACTTGTTACTTGACTTGTACTTGCGAATATCTAAATTATACTACTTAATATTCGACTTGACTATGACGAATCCTTGAAAAAACGAGACGAATACAGGGCGAGTAATGAGTTTAAGGCGAGTAACATGTATTTATGCCCAGCCCTAGTTTTGTATACAAAAGTTTTTTTCTAAAGGTTCTTTGGCTTGTGTACATATACTGATTTTGTCTTTTTTTAGTTCTAGACTTGTAGCCATTCTTTCTGTATGTTAACATGTCTTGTCGTTACTTGCTTCCGTGCATTGACGCGTTGATGTCTTTTTCCCTAGTAGAGATTCATCAGCACACAAACACTACTTTTCTACACTTATCTCTCTACCTGTACCGACAAGACATTTAGCTTGTTCTTCTGTCTCCTTCACCACAATCACAGAGCATCTGTTGAATCAAAATTTTAAATATCAAAAAGTATTTTCTTTGACATAGGTTCAGGTTGTTTAAGAGATAAAATAGTGTTTTTGTATGTTGATCCTATAATCCATAAATATGATAATACAACTTGCCTTAAGTTCTAGGAAAATATGTACATGTAAAGTCCTAAAACTTGATTGAAAATCTCAAAGTTAACAAATCCAAAGAAAAAGGATATACTAAACTGTAAGGAAAAAGTAACAGACACATACAATTACTGCTTACAACTACAAAGAGTTCCCAAGTAGAGAATCATCATCAAACACACACAACACACTACTTCTCTCTCAACACATTTAGCTTCTCTCTCCGTCCTCTTAGGCACGAACCATCTGTTGAATCAAAATTTCAATACAACCATTAATAAGCACTTTTTTGTCATAGAATTCATGTACATAGTTGTGTGATAAAAGGAGTGTGTTTTTACCACCTTGCAGTTGTTGTATCCTCCTTTCAGCGTCTTTAAAGCTTCTTCTGCAAAAGCTTGAGCTGCTTCTGCTTCGGCTTCGGCTAACTCTGCATCCTTTGCAGCTTCTTCAGCAGCTGCCATGGCAGCCTCTGCCTCTGCAACTGCCTGTGCTGCAACCGCTGCAGCTTCATGTACGTTCATAGTCTTCATTCTAGCTAACTCCGGATCAATCTGTGCGTTTGTCTCAACACTCACTTCATCTCTGTCTGTTTTAGGTGAAGGCAAAGAGAGACTTCTCTGTTTCTCAGACGATGTCCCCAAATGTCTTTTTCTGTGGGAAGACAAAGGAGTGGAGTTTGGAATTCTATACTTGCGTTTAATCTGTAAAGGAGAAAATCAAGTCACTGTGAATGAAGCATGTCTCTGCTCTACTAACAGCCATGAAGTAAGTTGATTTCACAAAGATTATATATGCACATGATAGCTGCGTTCAAATAATTGTATTAACGCTTACCTTGATAAGTTTCCGACAACCTGTCAAGTACTTTAGCTTAGCCGACAGCAACAAGTTGAAGTCTGGCGGAGCGTGATATTGTTCCTATACAACCGAATAAAAGGAGGACATGAACAGTAAATGACTTCACAAATTGTAGTAAACAACATATCAACCCACTGAGAATCATCAGATGGGTCTTAGCTGTTCAACAATTTGACAACACATAATGTCTACTGAAAAAGGAAGTGAGAACTAAAAGTGAATACCTCAATGTAGGCACCAATTGTTGTTTTGTTAGAGCCACCAGGCTCTTTTATGGTAGATATTGCTTCCATTATAAGGCTATCCAGCCTGCAACATTTTTTTTAAAAAAGGTTACAAACTGTCTATAACAATAGATTCAAACGATACATAAACATCTATTTAAAAGTGTGACTTTCAACACTTAAAACCCTCGTCATAATTTTACAAATTAAAAGGTGGAACAAACAGCTCACGTACTATCATAATCAGCATCTGGACAATGATGCAACAGAGTAAAATGCTGAAAGTAGAGGATAGATGACACTAAGAATATTTAAACAAAGTTTACAAAAGGCGTGAACAGAGAGATACATTCCATATCACATAAGTGTAATGTAATGTAACAAATTATAGATTCACAGGAAAAACGGGTGATGGCATACCCCTTCATTTTGATATGTATCAACAATGCATGTTATAAACTTCAGACATAGCATCTGGATATATGCGAATGCAACAAAGTATCTCCTCTCTAGGATAAAAGAAAGAAACAAGCATAGATGATAATTTCTGACCTTACATTAGGTGCAGAAGTGCCAGTGGCATCAGCCATTTCTTCATCACTCTGCAATGGGCTAGTAGTATTGGCAAGTGAGGTATCTTCCTGTTTAGGAAGAGAAAGCGTCCTTTTAACAGCTAACCTAGACCTCTCACGCGATCCCCACCCATTCGCCATGACACTCATGTTCCTCCATTTGTCCTGTCTCAGTACAATAAAACAAAATCAGATTTTGAAAGAGCTTCATAGAGTTGAAACAGAGGATAAGAAGGAAGCATGACCTTAAGATCAACATTGGAACGCAGGAACAAGACTTCACTAAAGTCAGGGTCTTTGAGAATGGTGCGCCATTTGCCAGGTCCATGCTTGATAACGCCAGACCTTAGAGCTGACTCTTCTTCCTGAGTCCATTTCTGCTTCGGAGCACCCATCACGGTTTTGAAATGCAGCTACTACAGTGTCTGCTGCGTCAATGTTAATTCTGTTCTGCAACCACAAAAACAAAGTATATATCACAGGGCAAAATCAAAACAAGCATCCGGTAAAGAAAAAAAAAAACATTTCCTTTCATTGTAACCCAAGATTCACTCTCTGTTTACAAACATAAGTAACATTACAGAATCTCTGGTTCAGTAAACCCTGCGTTCTTGTTCATGCCGAAACCCTAACAGATAGATAACAAAACCCTAGAGAAGGAATCCTCCTTTTGATTGAAACCTAATCCCATTCTCAGAATATAACAATCGACAAATGGAACATATGAATTCACCAGATTTCTGAGAAGAATTTGATCTTCGCGAGACCAACTCCAACTTCTATTGGTTGTCAGATTTCGAGAGGCTTTTGAAATATAAAACAAATTAGGTTAAGACATAGATTCAAACAAACGGACCTCCGACCATTTTATTTTATTACAGCAAAACCAAACCAAACCAATTGCATAAAAAGGAAAATACAAATTAATTTACTTCCATAATGAAACAATTGCATTTTAGCATTAAAACTATATTTTTATCCGCGCATTGAAAACTCAGAATAAATTTTTGGTTATGTTTTCTAGTTTAGGAATTAGTACTATTTTTTTTTAATTTTAATATTTGAATTTGGACGTGTATAACTAAAAATAATTTACATTGTTGTCTTATACTAATTCGGGTTGGATGTATAGGTACCTTTACATTTTTTGGATCAGTTTCGTTTGAGTAATGTTGGATTGAGTTTGTATTTATACTTTTTCGAGTTATTCGGGTTTGGGTGTTTAGGACCCATGTAAAAACATTTTCCGGATTAGTTCCTCCGAGTAGTGTCGGATTCGGTTTCCATTTATATTTTTTTGTAAAACCTGAAATGAAACTTAATTATAAATAGATTGAGTTTGAGTCATGCCATAAATCTCAAAAAACTTTGAAAAATCAAATTAACCCTAAAAATCCAAAAAGGTATTTTAGGTAACTAAGGTTTTTGCATATTATCATATATAAATTATATATATATATTATGATAATTAATATTTTAATATATTAAAAATATTTGGATACTTGCTCGGTTATCGGTGCGGTTCTGATTTTAGTTTTGGTTTCCGGGTTTGAGAAATAGTAACTGTTTAGGGTTTTCAAAATTTTGGTATGGTTTTAATTTTATTTTTTTCGTTTCGATCCAAGTTTGATTTCTTATTTGGATAATATTTTCAAGACTAACTTATCATTAGTTTTCTTATATGTGTTTAATACCAATCTTACTAAAATATATGTTCTTATTTTTAACCTCAAAGTATTTTATAATATCACTTTTGTGCTATTGTATTTTTAAAGGATTTTCACCTTCATTAAATATTTTTTATTTTTTATAAATTGTTTCGACAAAATTATTTTCCCCAAATATCAGACTTATTATCCATAATAGTTACCCGATTCTCAATTATTTAACTATATACGTAATAGTTACCCGCTTCTCAATTATTTAATATACTTATTATGCATAATACGTGAATGAACATAAAATAAATAATAATATGTATAAATGATTTGCATACATGATTAGTGTTTATTCCGCGCAATCGCGGCTCTCAAAAATTATTTTATTATTTTAAAAATACAATTTTTCGTATCAAATTGAGATTGTGAATTTCAACATCTGGATGATAATATTGAAGTCTAATGTACTTAAATAGGTTAAGAAAATCAAAAATATCAACAAATATTACCCTACTCATCAACCTTTATTGACGGTCAAAGTTATGATATGATAGTTGAACGATCAAAATTAGTATTCAATGATTATTAATATATAAATTTCAACCCGCACATATGCGCGGATTATCACCTAGTTATAATTATAGTTCAAATCATGTAACAAATAGATATTCATGCGTCATTATAAATATATACATATTTACATGTTTCAGTTTAATTGGTTATAAATCAAACCATATCCAAATCCTATGGTTTTTATAAAATCACATCCATTCAGTTTGTATGTATATACAAAAAAAACATATTATCGATTGTTTAATACTTTTTAATAATATAAAATTTAAAATAAGAATTAAGATATTTAAATCATTGATAACAAAATTTTTCAATGTGAAAAATTTAATAAGTTTATAATTTATAAATGTTTTTGAAAATTCGTTAAAATTTTTGAAATTAAAATATTTATGTAATCTTATATGGTATATAATTTAATGTATATATATTTATTTATTAATGAATGATACTTTTTACTCATATGGTTTTAAAATCATGTTTATCTTTTTATAATAAAAATGTTAAATCATTGATCATTAATTTTTAACATAATAATTTTAATAGTTTAGTCATTTATTCTTGTTTTTTTTTAAATTGAAATTATAACATATACAAAAAAATTAAAGTTTAATTTTATAGCTAATTTGATTGTTTAATTTATTTTAATAATATAAAATTAAACAAAAAATGATGGATGAGATATAAATTGTTATCAAATATTTATTATTAGAATCATTAATTGTCCTATATATATTAGTTATTTATGGTAATTTCCTAGGTTTTATTTCGAGAAAAAATAAAATAGTAATTATATCTAGCAGAACAATCATAAATGCTTCTATCGTAAATATCATATCATATAGTTTGACCAACGAATGTATCTAGCGACATATAAAAATCGAATGTGGACCTACTTATTTTTTTTTCATCAACAAACAGACTCATATTGAATATGTGAACCAAACCGGTAGCTCTGTATCCATGTGAACAACGAAAGACGATTGTCTTCGGGCACTGCGTGCAAGACTATCTGCCTGTGAGTTTAGTGTTCTTGAAACATGGATAATTGGTGAGCTGTTGAAACTCCTCTTAAGCGTCTTGACATCTTCTAGATAATTTGCAAAGGCTGGCCATTCATCTGGTTCAGACACCATCTTCACCAATTGAGAGCAATCTGTTGCAAAAGTAACATTATATTGACGTAAATTCCTCATACTCTCCATCGTCCAGATAAGTGCTTCAACCTCGGAGTGCAGGGGTGATAAACTTGCTCTAACATTCCTCGCTCCCATTAAACCCGCAAAACCTTCGAGTGTACTATACCAACCATGACCATCAAACACAACATTATCTTTCCATGAACCATCAATAAAACACCAACGCCCTGGTATGGACGGAATGATCGTCTCCTCGCCCGACTGATTTTCACGCGGAAGCGCTTTAATTTGGGCCTCCTCCCAGAGAGTTGATTCTGTCTCTGCCAATGTAAGTGTGTCCTTCGGGTCGACGTCTAAATTACTGAAAATTTTGCTATTTCTCCCCTTCCATAGGTACCACAAAATCAATGCAAAGTGATGATCATCCATCTTAGGAACCACCCGCCAAAATAAGTGGTCCATATTGGTAAATAGCGACCTTGTAGGAAAGGTCACGGGGTTCAAAAGTATCCGAGACAAAGCCCAAACCTGTCGAGCTGGTGGACATTCAAAAAAAACATGATTAACCGATTCTTCTGAAGCTCCACATCTGTCACAACATAACACCCTTTATCCCTCTTGCCTGCAAATTAAGCTTTACAGCAATACACCCCGATAACAATTGCCATAAAAAATGTTTTATCTTGGGGGGACACCGTACTTTCCAGCAAAATGCCTTTAAGACGTCCACCGTAGGTCCTTGAAACTCCGTCATCCTTCCTTTATCTGGGTACACCCTTTCAACTTGATATCCTGACTGAACAGAGTATTTTCCATTCTTGGTGAAATGCCAGCCATCCCTATCTTCCATATTTGTCCTACCCAATGGAATACTCTCTATTATTTTCACATCCTTAGGGTCTACTAGAGCCCTAATAACCTGCATATTCCAAGTCCTTGTATCAGTATTGATGAAAGAATCCACAGTGAGTTCCGGGTAAAAGTTATGTTGATTTTTTGTTGCTGGTCTCGGGCGAGTGGTTGGGAGCCATGGATCATTCCATACTGAAATAGATGATCCTGATCCCACCCGTTTAATAAGCCTTTACTAACCAGAGATCTAGCGGAAATCATACTTCTCCAGCCATATGACGGAGAATATGATCTTATGGGTTCTAGAGGTGACCCATTCCTGTAATACCGACCTTTGAAAACCCGAGAAAATAAGGCATTTGGTTTCTTAATAAGTTGCCATAGTTGCTTGCCTAGCATTGCTGTGTTAAAATCCTCAAGATCCTTAAAACCAAGGCCTCCAACTTCCTTATCTAGACATAATTTATCCCATGATTTCCAATGCATTCCTCTTGTGCTCCCCCCAGGGCTCCACCAAAATTGTGCTACTGCACTCGTTACTTATTTTTCAATTGAATGTAATTGACTACCTAATTGAGTGACACTTAAGCATGAGGTCTTTTTTAATTATTACAAAATTGAGGTTACAATTTTTCAAATGTTTCTCTTTTAATATATAGAGAATGTAACATAATTTATTTTGAAATATATATATATATATATATATATATATATATTCAATGAGACTTCTTACTTATCTAATTTTGTAATCATTTCTGTTTTGTTATTAAAAAAAATTTAACTATGGATCACAAAAATTTTAATGTGAGATTTTGTCACAACTTTAGTCATTTATAGTCGTTTCAAAAAATTCAAAGTATAGCATATACGAAAAAATCTAAATTTTTATTATATAGTAAATGTAGTTGTTTAATTTATTTTAATAAGGCAAATTAAAAAAATACACTAATTTTTTTTATCAAATCTTTATTATTGAAAATCAGTTATTGTTCCATATTTGGCAATTACGTTATTTATATTTAAGGAAACACTGAAAAACATTAATAAGTCATTTATGATTAGTTTAATAAAAAGCTTATTATATATTTAGATGGACCAACATATTTTTCTAAGGATTTTAAGAATGATTGTGGTGATGACACGTGGATACAAAAAAATGTTGTAATGCTTCTCCTTTAATATATAGAGGATTAAAAAATGGAACCTGTTTTTCATTGGTCAAAGTTCATTTTAAGCGTTATAACTGAATAGATTAAATCATTCTTCATTCCATCTTTTAATGAAATATTTTATTTATTTAATGAAAAAAGATAGAAATTGCAGTCGTAAAATATCAGTTGTAACCCGATCATTTATACAAAAAATGATATATGCATTATTGTTTTATTTTTTATGAACTTAAATATATATTAAGAATTTTAATATCTTAATTTAACATTTTAATTTATAAATAATAATTAATGGATATCTACTGAATATTCACTATAGTAATATTTAGTTATTAAAATGCTAAAGAATGAAATAAACTTTAGAAAACCTCAAATATATTTAGAACGTATGAAAAATGGAAGATTAATTAAAAGTTAA